TGTCTCTTATAGACTGATCATTTCTTTGTCAGTGGGCAAACGTACAAAATCAGCAGGGGATCAAATACTTTTTTCCCTCACTGTATTTCCAAAACTAAAAGCATTGCATTTGGGTCAAATCATTCACTCTACCCTAAACCTCAACTACATTTCGTAATGAATAATGTGGAAATTGAGCAAGTTGAGGTGACTAAACTGCTTGGAGTAATCCTGGATTGTAAACTGTCATGGTCAAAGAATATTGATACAACAGTAAAATAATAATATGCCATTTAGCAGACGCTTTTATCCAAAGCGACTTACAGTCATGTGTGCATACATTTTTACATATGGGTGGTCCCGGGGATCGAACCCACTACCCTGGTGTTACAAGCGCCATGCTCAACCAATTGAGCTACAGAGGACCACCAGTAGCTAAGATGGGGAGAAGTATGTCCATAATTAAGCGCTGTTCTGCCTTCTTAACAACACTATCAACAAGGCAGGTCCTACAGGCCCTAGTTTTGTCGCACCTAGACTACTGTTCAGTAGTGTGGTTAGGTGCCACAAGGGGGGACTTGGGAAAATTACAGTTGGCTCAGAACAGGGCAGCACAGCTGGCCCTTAAAAGTACACAGAGAGCTTTAATCTGTAGCCTAATAAACTCTATGCTTTCCCGGGTCGTAGTGGGAGGAGACACACAACATATCGCGTGACTCCAAGTTTACTTCGATATGATGGTTATTACATCAGTATTTGAGCATAACAAAGTTTCCACTGCCATTTCTCGCATTATTAATTTTAACGACACCATGTCGAACAAACAAATAGTCTGTAGGCATTTATAAAATTGTACTGGCATTTCATATTTCCTCAGCCCGGCCGTGACATTTTTTCATGCGTCAGGTAATTAATCCACATGAAATGGTTGGAAGGAAACGTGGTTTGTGTTGTGTAAATGAACCTATGAGCCCCAGCCCCAAATTAATGGAAGATGTAGACATCAAACAGGGATTGGGTGTTGATTGATGTAAATAGCTATAGAATATACAAAATAAATTGTGTGTGATGGCATTGTCAGTGTGCCTCCATGCTATGCACAAGTCCTCATATTCTAAAATCAAAATATTTCTCTAACAGGTTGGGACCAACATGGTTGAGTACCTGCACCAGGCGGAGGTGACCAGACCCTACCCATTTGTGTTGGCTCTTGGGGACTGCTCACAGGTGTTTACAGTCATTAGTTGTCCGGCATTGGATCAAGGTACACCACAAGGTACACTAATTCCTACAGACCACGGTCCATGCTACAGACCACGATCCATGCGATCGAGGGCAGTGCAGTTGCAATACCAAGCAGTGATGCCGCCAGTAAAGATCTCACTAGTGCAGCTGTAGAACTTTTTGAGGATTTGAGGGCCCATGCGCTGTCATGCCTTCTTCACGACTGTGTTGACCATTTTAAGTCCTTATTGATTTGGACACTGAGGAACTTGAAGGAATTTGAAGTAATCACAGGACTACTCGTTGAAGTAATCCAACAATGTGTACACCTCTATCTTGTCTATTTTCAGATCTCATTGATTGACAGGTGGGTGTCATCAAGTGTCGCATGTCATGTTGACACCCACCTTTCTCCATCAGTGAAGAAGTTTTGAAATAGACAAGAAGGCGGCGTACACATTGTTTGATTACTTTATGGCACAGGTCCTGTGTTGCTCAGTTTGTAGAGCATGGTGCTTGCAGTGCAAGGATTATGGATTTGAATCCCACTGGGGACCAGTACGAAAAGGAAAAAAGGGAAGAAAATGTATGTCGCTCTAAATTCAAATGACTGGACACAGTTATTTTAGAAGATACATGTTTGGCCGAATCGTGAACGAAGATAGTATCGCCAATTTAAAGTTGGTCGTAAAGTATCTGTGCTATGCCAAACAGTTTCTATCCTGTAACGGGTAATAGAGAATCACATTACAAATCTGTAGCTATCTTGCCTCAAGCTAGCTAGGCTCCAGCTAAGCCTGGAGCCTGGCTAGATAGCTAGCTAGCAACTACAATGTCAACTAAAAGAAACAGATACAATTTTAATAATTCAGGCTGTCTGGCTTGAATTCAATTTGGAAATATGGCTGAGAACAAAATATATATTGAGCATCAATGTTGTCAGGATGTAACGTTAGCTAGCTAGCTACTCAAGACGAGAGAGTGGCTAAGTTACCATGGCTAGGTTTCAGTTTGATATGTCACAGCCCCAAACATACTATAGATCAAATAGATAACCAATCAAGACATGCTGCATTCTCACTTTGAATCTGTAATCCTAATTCTGTTGATCTTTTTCTGTTTCTCTTTCAACAAAAATGAATTATTAGTTGTTAGCATATGTAAAGTGGTTATCCAACTGGCTATAGGGTGAACGCACCAATTTGTGAGTCGCTCTGGCTAAGAGCGTCTGCTAAATGACGTTAATGTGCCCTTGAGCAAGGCACTTAACCCTAATTGCTCCTGTAAGTCGCTCTGGATAAGAGCGTCTGCTAAATGACTAAAATGTAAATGTAAATGTAAATATGTGTTTCCCCATGTAATTATACTGAACAAAAATATAAATTTCAACATTTTCAACAATTTTACTGAGTTACAGTTCATATAACGGAAATCAGTCCATTTAAATAAATAAATTAGGCCCCCCCGTCTATGGATGTCACATGACTGGGCAGGGGTGTAGCCATGGGTGTCAGCTGTCCTGGTAGCTGGTCTCAGACGATCCCGCAGGTTACACGTAGTCTGCGGTTGTGAGGCCGGTTGGACGTACTGCCAAGTTCTCTAAAACAACATTGGAAGCGGCTTATGGTAGAGAAATGAACACTCAATTCTCTTGCAACAGCTCTGGTGGACATTCCTGCAGTCAGCATGCCAATTGCATGCTCCCTTAAAACCTGAGACATCTTTGACATTGTGTTGTGTAACAAAACTGCACATTTTAGAGTGGCCTTTTATTGTCCCCAGCACAAGGTGCACCTGTGTAATGATTATGCTGTTTAATCAGCTTCATGATATGCCACACCTGTCAGGTGGAAATGCTGACTGCAGGGATGTAAACAAATGTGTGCATAACATTTGAGAGAAAAGTTTTTTTTTTGTGCCTATGGAACATTTCAGGGATCTTATATTTCAGCTCATGAAACATGGGACCAAAATGTTACATGTTGCGTTTCAATTTTTGTTCAGTATAGTTAGTTTTCCTTCATTTTTTATGGAAGAGAGAGCAGAGAAAATATTGGTTTTAATTGCATCAACAACAGAAGGCACTTCTGATATTTAATCTTTCTATGTGATTAGACTGTTGAGTGGAATTTCTTAAATGTCTCCTGAGATCTCATCTGCATAATCATAATGCACACTATCCATGGATAATGGCCTGTATAATCATAATGCACACTATTCACCTCACCTGTATAATGATAATGCACACTATCACCTCACCTGTATAATCATAATGCACACTATCCACATCACCTGTATAATTATAATGCACACTATCCACCTCACCTGTATAATCATAATGCACACTATCCACCTCACCTGTATAATCATAATGCACACTATCCACCTCACCTGTATAATCATAATGCACACTATCCACCTCACCTGTATAATCATAATGCACACTATTCACCTCACCTGTATAATGATATTGCACACTATTCACCTCACCTGTATAATCATATCCATGGGACATTTTCTATCCACCTTCCTGCAAGAAAACTAGCAAAAGGATCTCGGTATTCTGGGAGTTCTCAGTTGATGTTTGGAACATTGTAATAATTTAATTATGGAGGATTGATGAAGAAAGGAGGAGAGAAAAAAGTCAATTTAACATCAAAATCTAATCTATGGTCTAAAATGATCACTTCTGTCTCTGGTCACTGTGTGTGTGTGTGTGTGTGTGTGTGTGTTGTGTGTGTGTGTGTGTGTGTGTTGTGTGTGTGTGTGTGTGTGTGTTGTGGTGTGTGTGTGTGTGGTGTGTGTGTGTGTGTGTGTGTGTGTGTGTGTGTGTGTGTGTGTGTGGTGTGTGTGTGTGTGTTGTGTGTGTGTTTGTGTCTCTGTGTGTGTGTTGTGTGTGTGTGTGTGTGTGTGTGTGGTCTTGTGTGTGTGTCTGTGTGTGTGTGTGTCTGTGTCTGTGTGTGTGTGTCTGTGTGGTGTGTGTGGTGTGTGTGTGTGTCTGTGTGTGTGTGTCTGTGTGTGTGTGTCTGTGTGTGTGTGTGTGTGTGTGTGTGTGTGTGTCTGTGTGTGTGTGTGTGTGTGTGTGTCTGTGTCATGTGTGTGTGTGTGTCATGTGTGTGTGTGTTTGTGTGGTGTGGTGTGTGTCTGTGTGTGTGTGTGGTGCTGTGTCTGTGTGTGTGTGTCTGTGTGTGGTGTGTGTCTGGTGTGTCGGTGGTGTCTGTGTGTTGTGTCTGTGTGTGTGTGTCTGTGTGTGTTGTCTGTGTGTGTGTGTCTGTGTGTGTGTGTGTGTGTGTGTGTCTGTGTGTGTGTGTGGGTGTTGTGTGTGTGTGTGTGTGTGTGTGTGTGTGGTGTGTGTGGTGTTGTGTGGTGTGTGTGTGTGGTGGTGGTGGTGCTGTGTGTGTGTGTGTGTGTGTTGGGTGTGTGTCTGTGTTGTGTGTGTCTGTGTGTGGTGTGTGTGTTGTGTTGGTGTGTGGTGTGTATGTGTGTGTGTGTGTGTGTGGTGTGTGTGGTCTGTGTGTGTGTGTTGTGTGTGTGTTGTGTGTGTGTTGTGTGTGTGTTGTGTGTGTGTGGTGTGTGTTTGTGTGTGTGTGTGGTGTTGGTGTGTGTGCTGTGTGTGTGTGGGTGTGTGTGTGTGTGTGTGTTGTGTGTGTTGTTGTGGTGTGTGTGTGTGTGTGTGGGTGTGTGTGTGTTTTTTTTTTTTTTTTGTTTTTTTTTTTTTTTTTTTTTTTTTTTTTTTTTTTTTTTTTTGGGGGGGGTTTTTGTGGGTGGGTGTGTCATATATCATTTCCACCCCCCACTCACATGAGTCCGTTCCTGAAGTAGCTCCTAAACTTGGAGGACTCTGCGGCCTGTACCTCCCTGTGCTGGACAGGACTGCCCCCCAGGAACTCATCCAGTTGAGTCACCAAGATGGCCGCTGCTCCCTGCTCGTCCTGAGAGGAGGAGTTACCGATCCAATAGTGGATGTCCATGGAGTTACTGGAGTCCGGACTCCCCTGGGCACACACACACACACACACACACACACACACACACACACACACACACACACACACATACACACACACACACACACACACACACACACACACACACACATATAGTATTCTGTTACACACAGATACATGTTCATGACATAGATACACATCATTCATATTGTATACTGCACACACACATATGCCATAGGGTCATTCTTGAGGGGTCATTCTTGAGGGGTCAGTCTTGAATTGCGGTGGTAAATGCTTTCTCTTGACTTTGGCACAGTGTAAAAACACTTTAAAATGACAAAAACATGACAAATGATAAATGTTCCGTTTTATTTAACTGTTATTTCATATTAAAGCATATGTAAGTCCTTATAGTGTAAAACATATATTTATATGTATTGTATAAACTACTGAGGGGTAGCAGGTTGGTGATGTGTAGAGGTATAGTGACAGATATCTAGATATTATTTTGAATGCTAGACAGTGAACAAAAGTATTTAGTATATTGTATAGATTTAAAAAACAACAACATTGGTATTAAAATGCAATGTGTGCCCCTCAGTTCCCTTTCAGTCAGTCAACTTCAGTACAACATACTATGGGGAGTCGCACTCTCACGTCTTCGGTTGAAGGATCTACAATCACGCCTGACAAGGCCAATTAAATCCTTGCCTCGCTGGAAGCCCCGCTTTCCCCAGGTGATAAGCGTGAGGCTCAGATTCATTCCTTCAGTTCTTCCTCTCTTCACCTCGGTGTGAACAGAAACGATTTCACACCACTAAAACAAACAATTAGAACACGAGACTGTCTTACGTTGCAGCAACTAAACTGTCCCTTAAGCGTGCTCAACCCCTGGACGTTGTGTGCTGAAGTTTGTGTGGTTCCTTATTCTTCTAATTGCTTGGCCAGGCTATAGCAATAAGTACGATGGCTAACGCGACCGAAACGATGAAGGCTAACAAGCCGGGTTCGCGACCATGCCTCAATGAATTAAAAGATACACACGATTGTCTTGTATGTCTCGGCTCGGTGCATGCTCAGGCTGCCCTCGCTCGAATCAGTTCACGTCTGAGTTTAGGGGACGGCTGGCTCTGTTCCCCTGTTAGCCAGCAGGTTCTCTTGACTTGTCTTTAGGTGTCTTGGTGTTTCCGATAGTGACTTCCTCTCCCCGGTGCCCGTACCACCTCTGAGTCGTTGGTCGGGTCGAATGTCTCCCGGCTCTTGTGCTCTCTGTCGCCGGTTACGTGAGGCTACTCGAAGAGAGAGGGCGACCAGGTTCTGTGGGTATTCCCCTGTGTCTGTGTTGGTTAACCTTTTACTGCAGTGGGCTAAATCAGGGTCACACAAAGTGTTTCTTGGGAGTCTTCAACAAATCTAGTTTGGAACAAAATTAAACACCTCACACACATAGTGATGGGCTTTAAAAAAAATAAGACACATTTTACATTTTAGTCATTTAGCAGACGCTCTTATCCAGAGCGACTTACAGTTAGTTAGTGCATACATTTTTTCATACTGACACCTGTACCATGTCAGATATAGAGTTGAAATGTATTGAAATGTATTCAATTTTGAGTTTGCATCCCAATATTACACTTGATATACATCATGGAAGACTGAAATATAACAAAACTGTTTGACATAAAAACACCATATTTTCGGCAGGTTTTTAAAATGTTTTATTAATTATGAAATGATTAATAACATTCCACCCATGAGGCCACTAGGTCATTTGACTGAGGAAAGGGATACACACCGCTTGTCTCCCCAGAATGGTCCGGGTCCCACCTCGGTGATCTGGTTCTACGTACACTTTCGAGACCAGGCTAGCTAACATGTTCTGGTGCCGTTCGGGCAATTTAAAGTATTGATCGGGGATTTATTTGTGGATGAATATAACAGTTTTTCTGGGTGATTTGTGATGTTTTATTTGTGCTTACCACAACTGTGTTTTTGTATTTTAATGTATTTTAACTTGTTCTCCCCACTGTATATATATATATATATATATATATATATATATATATATAATATATATATATATATATATATATATACAGTGGGGAGAACAAGTATTTGATACTCTGCCGATTTTGCAGGTTTTCCTACTTACAAAGCATGTAGAGGTCTGTAATTTTTATCATAGGTACACTTCAACTGTGAGAGACAGAATCTAAAACAAAAATCCAGAAAATCACATTGTATGATTTTTAAGTAATTAATTTGCATTTTATTGCATGACAGAAGTATTTGATCACCTACCAACCAGTAAGAATTCCGGCTCTCACAGACCTGTTAGTTTTTCTTTAAGAAGCCCTCCTGTTCTCCACTCATTACCTGTATTAACTGCACCTGTTTGAACTCGTTACCTGTATAAAAGACACCTGTCCACACACTCAATCAAACAGACTCCAACCTCTCCACAATGGCCAATCTAATGTATGTGTGTGTGTGTGTGTGTGTGTGTGTGTGTTTAATGTGTATTTTATGTTGTATTATGCAGCGCGCATTTGGAAAAGAGACCTCAGGTCTCAATATGTCATCCCTGTCAAAATAAAGGTTCAATAAAAGCGCTGCATAGAGTGCTAGCCAGGTTAGCCTCACCGAGGTGAGTTTTTATTTTTTTTTTTATTTTTTATTTTTTATAAATGCTAGGTTACATTTTACATTTACATTTTAGTCATTTAGCAGACGCTCTTATCCAGAGCGACTTACAGTTAGTGAATACATTATATATATATTTTTTTTATAGTTAGGAGTTAGCTACAACTTGCTATTCCTGCCTCCCCACGGGGGAGATGCTCTCTTGTTTAGTATATGTAGCGTTAAGTGGCTTGGTTATTCTAAATGGACCATGCTAGCTAGCCTAGCTTAGACTAATGAGCCACCTGGCTAACGTCGGCTAGCATGCGTAACTTCCCGTGAATTAAGCTTACTAGCGTTCCCACCGGCTCTGTGGCTACCCCATTCCTATTTTAGATTCCTGGAGTTGGAGGGAGTAGAGAGAGCGGGGGCTTGCGTGCTCCTCCGATGTGGAAGTAGCCCCCCGAGCCACTGCGCCGCTCCACAAAAACACTGCTGTGACGACAGTGCCCCCACGTTTTGTTACAGCAAACGGGGTACTACGTCAGCCATTGCCAGAGCCCACTGTGCCCATAAGGGGGCTGGGCTTCATGCGGGCTCTACAGTCTCATGGTAGCGCAACGTGTGTCTGGTACCCCCGCGTTCCACGGTGTTCACAGGAACGTGTGTCTGGTACCCCCGCGTTCCACGGTGTTCACAGGAACGTGTGTCTGGTACCCCCGCGTTCCACGGTGTTCACAGGAACGTGTGTCTGGTACCCCCGCGTTCCACGGTGTTCACAGGAACGTGTGTCTGGTACCCCCGCGTTCCACGGTGTTCACAGGAACGTGTGTCTGGTACCCCCGCGTTCCACGGTGGTTCACAGGAAACGTGTGTCTGTACCCCACGCGTCCACTGTGTTCACAGGAACGTGTGTCTGGTACCCCCGCGTTCCACGGTGTTCACAGGAACGGTGTGTCTGGTACCCCCGCGTTCCACGGTGTTCACAGGAACGTTGTCTGGTACCCCAGCGTTCCACGGTGTTCACAGGAACGTGTGTCTGGTACCCCAGCGTTCCACGGTGTTCACAGGAACGTGTGTCTGGTACCCCCGCGTTCCACGGTGTTCACAGGAACGTGTGTCTGGTACCCCAGCGTTCCACGGTGTTCACAGGAACGTGTGTCTGGTACCCCCGCGTTCCACGGTGTTCACAGGAACGTGTGTCTGGTACCCCCGCGTTCCACGGTGTTCACAGGAACGGTGTCTGGTACCCCCGGTTCCACGGTGTTCACAGGAACGTGTGTCTGGTACCCCCGCGTTCCACGGTGTTCACAGGAACGTGTGTCTAGTACCCCCGCGTTCCACGGTGTTCACAGGAACGTGTGTCTAGTACCCCCGCGTTCCACGGTGTTCACAGGAACGTGTGTCTAGTACCCCCGCGTTCCACGGTGTTCACAGGAACGTGTGTCTGGTACCCCCGCGTTCCACGGTGTTCACAGGGTTAAAGGGGTATATCTCCTCAGGGTGGGAGTAATACATTTCACAATTCGCTCTCGGTCTACAAGAGTTCACCATAGGTGTCTCATTACTGGGATTCATTACTGATTCCTGCCTGTAGCTCACTGAGATGCCTAGTGATACAGGTTATGGGCTCTGTAGGTGATTGGTGGTTGGAGTTGAGGGAACAAGCAGGGTCGGACATGACTATGCTATTAACCATACACAGTCTCTCGAGTGGCGCAGTGTACTGTATATAGCCTCTACTGTATATAGCCTCTACTGTATATAGCCTCTACTGTATATAGCCTCTACTGTATATAGCCTCTACTGTATATAGCCTCTCTACTGTATATAGCCTCTACTGTATATAGCCTCTCTACTGTATATAGCCTCTACTGTATATAGCCTCTACTGTATATAGCCTCTACTGTATATAGCCTCTACTGTATATAGCCTCTCTACTGTATATAGCCTCTCTACTGTATATAGCCTCTACTGTATATAGCCTCTACTGTATATAGCCTCTTTACTGAATATAGTCTCTACTGTATATAGCCTCTACTGTATATAGCCTCTCTACTGTATATAGCCTCTCTACTGTATATAGCCTCTACTGTATATAGCCTCTACTGTATATAGCCTCTCTACTGTATATAGCCTCTCTACTGTATATAGCCTCTACTGTATATAGCCTCTCTACTGTATATAGCCTCTCCTGTATATAGCCTCTACTGTATATAGCCTCTCTACTGTATATAGCCTTTCTACTGTATATAGCCTCTACTGTATATAGCCTCTACCGTGTGTGGGTGTTGTGACCTGCTGCCTTATTGATACGTTTTGAATGGGAAGATGTACCCAAATACATTGGAATAAATCAAAAGTGTTCAAAATGCCACCGTAATTCAGGAACGACCCCTAGATCATTTCTACAGGGTACCAGGGTAGAGACTCCCCACACATTCACTGCATATTCTGGGCAAGACTCACAAACATACAGGCACGCACACACGCAGGGATGCACACAAATAAACAATGTAGATGAGACAATATTGTGTTAAGACTTGTATGTTGAGCATCAACACCAACAGTGTAACCCCTGTAGATTCAAGCAATACTCACAGAGGACAATGTAGCAATACTCACCTAGAGGACAATGTAGTAATACTCACCAAGAGGACAATGTAGCAATACTCACCTAGAGGACAATGTAGCAATACTCACAGAGGACAATGTAGCAATACTCACCAAGAGGACAATGTAGTAATACTCACAGAGGACAATGTAGCAATACTCACCAAGAGGACAATGTAGCAATACTCACCTAGAGGACAATGTAGCAATACTCACCTAGAGGACAATGTAGCAATACTCACCAAGAGGACAATGTAGCAATACTCACCTAGAGGACAATGTAGCAATACTCACAGAGGACAATGTAGCAATACTCACCTAGAGGACAATGTAGCAATACTCACCTAGAGGACAATGTAGCAATACTCACCAAGAGGACAATGTAGCAATACTCACCTAGAGGACAATGTAGCAATACTCACAGAGGACAATGTAGCAATACTCACCTAGAGGACAATGTAGCAATACTCACAGAGGACAATGTAGCAATACTCACCTAGAGGACAATGTAGCAATACTCACCTAGAGGACAATGTAGCAATACTCACCAAGAGGACAATGTAGCAATACTCACCTAGAGGACAATGTAGCAATACTCACAGAGGACAATGTAGCAATACTCACCTAGAGGACAATGTAGCAATACTCACAGAGGACAATGTAGCAATACTCACCTAGAGGACAATGTAGCAATACTCACCTAGAGGACAATGTAGCAATACTCACAGAGGACAATGTAGCAATACTCACCTAGAGGACAATGTAGCAATACTCACAGAGGACAATGTAGCAATACTCACAGAGGACAATTTAGCAATACTCACATAGAGGACAATGTAGCAATACTCACCTAGAGGACAATGTAGCAATACTCACAGAGGCCAATGTAGCAATACTCGCCTAGAGGACAATGTAGCAATACTCACAGAGGACAATGTAGCAATACTCACATAGAGGACAATGTAGCAATCTCCCTCAAAGAAGTTCCCAAAGGCTTGGTCTGGAACAGGAACCATCTTCATGTTCTTAAAAACAACAACATACTTTCAGAATATTATATATGAAGAACTGCAAAGAAAACTGTTACAATAGTCCCATCTCAGCATTGGATGTGAGACTACAGCAGTGTAATATACCCAGTGGAGACTGCTGTATAACCCAGTGGAGACCGCTGTATAACCCAGTGGAGACCGCTGTATAACCCAGTGGAGACCCTGTATAACCCAGTGGAGACTGCTGTATAACCCAGTGGAGACCGCTGTATAACCATGTGGAGACCCGCTGTATAACCCCAGTGAGACCGTGTATAACCTGTGGAGATCCGCTGTATAACCCAGTGGAGACCGCTGTATAACCCTGTGGAGACCGCTGTATAACCCTGTGGAGACCGCTGTAAACCCAGTGGAGACCGCAATTAAATACTCACCAGGGAGACCGCGTATATCACCAGAGGGACAATGTAGCAATCCCAAAGGGAACCATTTACAATACTCACATAGAGGACAATGTAGCTACTCACCTAGAGACATGTGCAATACCACAGGGGCCAATGTGCATATCGCCTAGAGACCAAGTGGTAGCATAACCCAGAGGAGACCGTGTAGATACCCATGGAGACATGTACAACCCCATGAGAAGTTAAAGGGCTTGCTGGAACAGGAACCATCTTCTGTTAACCAAACATAAACCATACTTTAGACCGTTGTATACCAGGAGACGCAAACAGTAGAACTGTTAACCCATGGAGCCCTGTATAACCATGGAGGAGGATACAGCAGTGGAACCTATACCCAGTGGAGACCGCTGTATAACCCAGTGGAGACCGCTGTATAACCCAGTGGAGACCGCTGTATAACCCAGTGGAGACCGCTGTATAACCCAGTGGAGACTGCTGTATAACCCAGTGGAGACCGCTGTATAACCCAGTGGAGACTGCTGTATAACCCAGTGGAGACCGCTGTATAACCCAGTGGAGACTGCTGTATAAACCAGTGGAGACGCTGTATAACCCAGTGGAGACGCTTTGTAACCCAGTGGAGACTGCTGTATAACCCAGTGGAGACGCTGTATAACCAGTGGAGACCGCTTTATAACCCAGTGGAGACGCTTTATAACCCAGTGGAGACCGCTGTATAACCAGTGGAGAACCTGCTGTTAAAACCCAGTGGAGACTGCTGTAAACCCAGTGGAGACCGCTGTATAACCCTGTGGAGACCGCTGTATAACCCAGTGGAGACTGCTGTATAAACCAGTGGAGACGCTGTATAACCCAGTGGAGACGCTTTATAACCCAGTAGAGACTTCTGCTACAGCAGAAGAAGAATCCTGCAGCAACAGGACATTTAAATTATTAAGTGGGTTATAATTAATGGACATTTTAGTAGGGGTTGATGCATTTCTCGTAAGGGAAAATCAAGTATACAATTTAAAAGTGGAAACTTCAGAAGCGTTTTTAAACCTCAAATAAACTACAAGTTTAAAATGTCCTGCATTGCAGGAAAGTTATCCTGTAACAGGGTGATTAAATGAAGATCCTACATCTGTACAGTATATTACAATATGTAGTATTTAGAAAGACTTGTGACTTACATTGATGGTCCAGATCTGCAGGCCAGACTTCCTGCTGACATGCTGAAAGGCTTCTGGAGTTTCTTCAGTCATTCTGCACAACCAACAACACAGGAGAGAGCATGCTGAATGTACTGCACAACTAACAACACAGGAGAGAGCATGCTGAATGTACTGCACAACTAACAACACAGGAGAGAGCATGCTGAATGTACTGCACAACTAACAACACAGGAGAGAGCATGCTGAATGTACTGCACAGCTAACAACACAGGAGAGAGAATGCTGAATGTACTGCACAACTAACAACACAGGAGAGAGCATGCTGAATGTACTGTGAATCACCTCAGAAAGCTTGCTGCATGTTTACTGAAAAGCGCCTATCTTCCACAGAGTCTTAAATCCTCCAGCTACCACTATATCTTACATACACTGTAAAAATAAAAAATAAACACCAACAAATTTAGTTGTTTCAACAAATTATTATTAAGTAACTGGTTCCACAGCTTCGTTTTTTTTTTTTTTTTTTTTTTTTTTTAAACTTTTTGACTAAATGTTACCTGAACCAAAGAAATTGTTGGCCCAAATTTTGCTCCAACTTGAGAAAACGTTCAGTCAATTTAAAATGATGTGTTTCCTCAACCTGTCTCATGTTTATTCAACTATACATTATTATTTGGGTATCTTAACTAAAAAAGACTGTGCAACTGGTTACACACGTCTAGTCTAGTTGAATGAACATACTAGACAATTTGAGCAAACCCATCATTTTAATTTGATAGAATTTTTATCTACGTTTTCTCATGTTGGAGCTAAGTTTGGGCAAACTAAAAATGTTAAGTTCAGGTAACACTTTGACCGAAAAGTTGAGTAAACCAAAAAAGGCTGTGGGACTAAAAGTTAGTGGAAACAACTAGATTTATTTTACAGTGTACATCGATAACCCCAAGAAGAAACCACTGGAGAAAGCAACGATCACAGCAAAATATCAACTTATTTCTTATTAAAAAAAACATAATGTAAATAATGTTATCTACACATTTTTACAAAACTAAATATAATAGACTGTTGTTTGTGACTCGTTTCAGGAAACTAGGAGTATGTCACGCATCACTACTTCACAGGAGAGGCATTTGAATGTAATTGTATTTTTTTTAATCAAAATGCATTTTTCGGCATAAATGCCTTCTGGAACATGTGAACTTTCATGTGCCTTAAAAAACAAACTTGTATGCCATCTGTAAATACAAATAAAATTGTTAAATTACGGGCCTAGTTGGTTTAGCCACGGAAAAAGACAGGATCCTTCCCGCTAGCCATGATTTGCTGAGATAATGGATGGGCTGAACATGCCGAGAGATCAGTTCGGTTTAGTCTGCCATGTAACATGCTTCTGTCTATAACATGAGCTGCTCAGTATGTGTAGGTAATCCTTTCTAAAGCTGCTTTTTTGGAAGATATCACGAAGAACTGCACAAGTGTTGCCAAGGCTCTCCTCTTTCTGGAGGACCGAGTCTGGAAATCAGTGGAATGCCCGGTGGAAGCAGAGTATGACAGCTAAGGAGATAGAGAAAATGCAGGTGTTTAATTATGCGGAGGGAGTTGAAAAGAGAACACAGAAGGCTGTTGTATAAAACACCTGTCTCCGGATTACATCTTCAAACTAAGGGCAACCATGGCATCCATGATAGAGAGGGAGAAGCATTCATCCATGTATATATATATACAGTGGGGAAAAAAAGTATTTAGTCAGCCACCAATTGTGCAAGGTCTCCCACTTAAAAAGATGAGAGAGGCCTGTAATTTTCATCATAGGTACACGTCAACTATGACAGACAAATTGAGATTTTTTTTCTCCATAAAATCACATCGTTGGATTTTTAATGAATTTATTTGCAAATTATGGTGGAAAATAAGTATTTGGTCACCTACAAAAAAGCTAGATTTCTGGCTCTCACAGACCTGTAACTTCTTCTTTAAGAGGCTCCTCTGTCCTCCACTCGTTACCCGTATTAATGGCACCTGTTTGAACTTGTTATCAGTATAAAAGACACCTGTCCACAACCTCAAACAGTCACACTCCAAACTCCACTATGGCCAAGACCAAAGAGCTGTCAAAGGACACCAGAAACAAAATTGTAGACCTGCACCAGGCTGGGAAGACTGAATCTGCAATAGTTAAGCAGCTTGGTTTGAAGAAATCAACTGTGGGAGCAATTATTAGGAAATGGAAGACATACAAGACCACTGATAATCTCCCTCGATCTGGGGCTCCACGCAAGATCTCACCCCGTGGGGTCAAAATGATCACAAGAACGGTGAGCAAAAATCCCAGAACCACACGGGGGGACCTAGTGAATGACCTGCAGAGAGCTGGGACCAAAGTAACAAAGCCTACCATCAGTAACACACTACACCGCCAGGGACTCAAATCCTGCAGTGCCAGATGTGTACCCCTGCTTAAGCCAGTACATGTCCAGGCCCGTCTGAAGTTTGCTAGAGTGCATTTGGATGATCCAGAAGAGGATTGGGAGAATGTCATATGGTCAGATGAAACCAAAATAGAGCTTTTTGGTAAAAACTCAACTCGTTGTGTTTGGAGGACAAAGAATGCTGAGTTGCATCCAAAGAACACCATACCTACTGTGAAGCATGGGGGTGGAAACATCATGCGTTGGGGCTGTTTTTCTGCAAAGTGACCAGGACGACTGATCCGTGTAAAGGAAAGAATGAATGGGGCCATGTATCGTGAGATTTTGAGTGAAAACCTCCTTCCATCAGCAAGGGCATTGAAGATGAAACGTGGCTGGGTCTTTCAGCATGACAATGATCCCAAACACACCGCCCGGGCAATGAAGGAGTGGCTTCATAAGAAGCATTTCAAGGTCCTGGAGTGGCCTTGCCAGTCTCCAGATCTCAACCCCATAGAAAATCTTTGGAGGGAGTTGAAAGTCCGTGTTGCCCAGCGACAGCCCCAAAACATCACTGCTCTAGAGGAGATCTGCATGGAGGAATGGGCCAAAATACCAGCAACAGTGTGTGAAAACCTTGTGAAGACTTACAGAAAACGTTTGACCTGTGTCATTGCCAACAAAGGGTATATAACAAAGTATTGAGAAACTTTTGTTATTGACCAAATACTTATTTTCCACCATAATTTGCAAATCAATTCATAAAAAATCCTACAATGTGATTTCCTGGATTTTTTTTTCTCATTTTGTCTGTCATAGTTGACGTGTACCTATGATGAAAATTACAGGCCTCTCTCATCTTTTTAAGTGGGAGAACTTGCACAATTGGTGGCTGACTAAATACTTGTTTTCCCCACTATATATATATATTTTTTTTGTATTTTACCCCCTTTTTCTCCCCAATTTTGTGGTATCCAATTGGTAGTTACAGTCTTGTCCCATCTCTGTGACTCCCGTACGGACACGGGAGAGGCGAAGGTCGAGAGTCGTGCGTCCTCCGAAAC